AAAATATAATTATAGAAAAAAAAAGAACAGGAACTAGGCAAGGATGCCCACTATCACCTCTTAAAAAAAAAAAAGAAATTACTGAAAATACCATGGTTTGCATCAGGTGCACTTTAGTCTTTAAACGGACATAGTTGTTCTTTAGCATTTTGGAGAGGTCCTTGATATGAGATTTCCCCTGTGAACATATCTTCTGATTTATTAGCCATTGTTACCATGGATCTACACCATTGTAGAGCTAAGGAAAGTGAAACGGTTGACAACGTCAATCTTTTTTCCATCTACTATGAAGTCAGTTTGAAGACTAAGGTGTGTCTGATTCAGGCCATGGTCTTTTTAATCATTGGCTTTGCATTTGAAAGCTGGGCAATGAACAAAAAATGACTTAAAAAAGAATTGATGCCTTTGAGTTGTGGTGTTGAAGAAGAGTACTCAATATCCCATAGACTACCAAAAGAACAGATGAGTCTTGGGAAAAGTGCAGCCAGAGTGCTTCTTGGAGGCAAGGATAGTGATGTCTGGTCTTATATTGAGCACGCTGCTAGGAGAGGCTAGTCCTTGGAAAGGTGGAGAGTCAGCAAAAGAGAGGAAGACCTTCAACGAGATGGGCTGACTCAGTGACTGCCACATGGGCTCAAGAGTGTCAGAGGTGATAAGGATGGAACAGGATAGGACAGGGTTCAGCTCTGTTGTTCACAGGGTCACTGTGAGTTGTACTTAACAGCACCTAACAACGACAGCATCAACATCTGATGTTGCCTACTGGTCCAGTGGGAAGGATTTTTATTTTCTTGATCTTGAAATGTAATCCATTTTGAAGACTGTAGTCTTTGATCTGGAGTAAATGCTTCAAGTCTTCTTCACTTTCTACAAGTAAAGTTGTGTCATCTGAATGACATGGATTGTTGATGAATCTTCCTCAAATCCTGATGTCACATACCTCTTCATATTGTCCAGCTTCTCAAATTATTTGCTTAGCAGAGAACTTGAATAGATATGGAGAAAGGCTAAACCACACAGTGTTTCTTGTTCTTTCCGGATAACAGCTTCTTGGTCCATGTATAGGTTTCTCATAAGCACAATTAAGTATTCTGGAATTTCCATTCTTCTCAATGTTAGCCATTATTTGTTACAATCCACATATTCAAATGTCTTTGCATAGTCAATGAAACACAAGTAAACAGTCTTCTTGTTGTATTCTCTGATTTCGGCTGACATCAGCAATCTCTCTTTGTTCCATAGCCTCCTCTGAAACCAGCTTGATTTTCTGGTAGTTCCCTAATGGGGATGGACTGCTCCAGCAGTTTTAAAATAATTTTCAGCAAGATTTTACTTGCATGTAATAGTAAGGATATTGCTACCGTCGGGTAAATGCCCTGGTTTCAGTCTCCCTTTCTTGGACAAAGAATTGAAGTTATTCAGATACAGAAAGACTAAAGATAACCCAGTGATGTTCACTCTCCCAAACATTATGTCCCTTTCCAAGGACTGGCCCCTCCTTGCAACATGCCCAAAGTATGTCAGACGAAGCTTCAGAATCCTTGCCTCCAAGGAACAGTCTGGTTTCACCCTCTCCAGGATGAACCTGTTTGTCCTCCTAGCAGTCCATGGTATGTATAGTCAATACTCTTCTCCAGCACCACAGCTCAAAGGCATCAATTCTCTTTCTATCATCCCCAGTCTCTGTCCAGCTCTCCAATGCATAACACAAAATTGCAAAACTACAGCCTGGATCAAGCATACCCTTAATCTCCAGCCTGATATCGCTGCTCTTCAGTACTCTGGAGGGGTCCCTCACAGCTAACTTTCCCAATGCATTTTGTCTCTTGATTTCCTGGCTGCTGGTACTAAGAGTGTTGACTGTGGAGCCAAGCAAACTAAAACTGTTTAACTATCTCAATCTCTTCACCATCCATACTGATGCTGCCAATTGGCCCAGTGCTGAGAATCTGTATTCTTTATGTTGATCTTCAATCTGTATTGAAGGCTGCAGTCCTTGACCTTCTGTAGCAAGCACTTCAGGTTCTCCT